GCTTCTTGAAACGGCATTGTGTTAATGTCAGCAAACTGTTCAATTGCAGCAACGATTTGTATGAACTTTTCAGGCACAGAACCCAAAAGCTTTCGAACCAATCTTTTGTCTTCAAATGCAGACCCAAGGTTGTTTGCTTGTGTTGCAAGTTGACTAATTTTACCAGCAAAATCATCAAGTGACTCATTGTTCTTCATCTTTAGAGTCTCAAAATCTGATTCAAGTGTCTGTAATCACGCCGCTTTAACCCTGTCAACACCAACGAAGCGAGTCTTCAAAGCATCCCAAATTTCTTTTGCTTCCGTAAACTGAGCAACTTGTAGTACGATCTCTTCTGGCAAAGCTTGAAACAGATATGCTATTGCCATATTGTTCTTCTTTGGATTGATTTCTGTTCCTGGTTCGATCACCTTCCAAAGCCCATTAACATTAAAAATTGCTTTGATCTTCACGGCCCAAATAGTGTAGTTTGTAGCAGTTAGAATTGGAACCTGAAAAGATAGTGAAATTTTCACAAACTTCTTAACTTCGATTCCTTCCCGGGTTGTAAGCCACCTGCAATCAACCACCAACCAAAAAACAAGCCCCGGCTTTTCTGTCTTCCAAGCCACTAAACGAAAGCAACCCCGCTGATTCGTTTTTTCCGCAGTGTTTGGTTGGAATGCTTCTGCCAAAGGAAAAACTAGCCACTTGCTACTCTTGTCCTAGGCGAGGAAGAGAATCTTGTCGAAGATTTTTGATCTGTTGTCAAGGCAAATCTCCCTTTTCTTGCCACTGATCGCACATGCTCCGATACCAATTGTAGGAAAATAATTGGAAGAACAAAACAAATGCAGATCTATTTATAAAATACTCTGTTTATATACTCTAGATCTGATTTTTTATTGTGAACTACATTCAGGAATTCTATGTTCCTGGATTACGTATAGACATCAACCAATACAACTTTTGGTACTAATCAACACATCTATTACTAACTAATACAACTTCTAGAAATAACTACTCCTGTCCCTTTTAAAATTTAAATCTAAACTAATAACTTATGACCAGGAATTAAACAATACGATTAAATCTAACACAAAGTATCAACAAACTGAGTCTAGTAAAGAAATAGCCTTTAAAAAATGCACACCACTGTGATTCTCTAAGGCATTGCATGATGAAACCTCAGCTGCTTGATGACAAAGATCTCATCCTTCGCGTCAAAACGCATTGGCGAGCCACTGGTGCAGATTCCTCTATTCCATCAAATGAGCCCGAGCCCGAGCTTGATGGGCTAGCCTCGTACTCGTCATCTCCTTCGCGAACATCATCATCATCACTGCTAATCCAAGCTTCAGCAATGTCCGACTGGCTAACTTCAGAGGAAGCATCAGTGGCTGTGTGAAAGAGAGTGATGCTCTCCTTGTTCCTGTCTTGAAAAGAGTAGCTCCGTGCTGTTCGATCAGACAGAGGAAGCAGCACTGGTTTTGAACCTTCCATGCAATGAAGAGATATAGTAATGTACTAATGCTATATGATTGATTAATACTAGTTTACTACTTTGTTTGAGGCTAAAATCCACCATTGGTCCTTCAACTTTATCAGTTGTGCAAGATTGGTCCTTCAAGTTTCAAAAGTCCATAAATAGTCCTTCAACTTTATGAGTTCTGCACCATTGGTCCTTCAAGTTTCAAAAGTCCATAAGTATTCCTTCAGGTACACGTCAGCCCTCCATATAAAGTCCTTTTGACCGTAAATATTAAAAGTTAAACGAAATACTAGTTTCATATAATACGAGTAAATTCCATTAGGTACGACTACTCCGTATTATATTGAGCTAGTATTTCATTTAGCTTTTAACATTTACTGTCAAAAGGACCTCATCTGGAGGGCTGACGTGTACTTGAAGAACTATTTATGCACTTTTAAAACTTGAAGGATCAATCGTGCATAACTCATAAAGTTGAAGGACTATTTATGGACTTTTAAAACTTGAACGACCAATCGTGCACAATTAATAAAGTCGAAGGACCAATGGTGGAGTTTAGCCTTTTGTTTGAAGTTGTTCGAAAAAAGTTGTTAACCAAAAAGGCTGAAAACTAAATGCTTTCGTAAAATAATCTTTTCAAAATGTTAAAACTAAGCGTCTAAGTTGTTGGTACCAGAAGAAAGAAAATCTCTAATAAGAGCTTTTTTGTTTTTTACCTCTCATGTATGTGGTTTCATCTTCCAAAGCTATATGTTGTTGAGAGCTTTCTCTCAATGCCTTCCCTTTCCCTCACCAAATCTCCCAACTCTTCTATCACTTCATTCCCTACCGCTTCCTCTGTAACTCTTTGCTCAAGTTCTGATATTGTCCTGTCAAAGGCTTTCTTCTGTAGTTGGAGAGCACGCTGACAAATAACAAAACAATAAAAAACGCACCGAGTTATGGCATTGACGATCAAACCAAACCTTCATTGTGTTTGGAAGTATCGGAGGAGAAATTGAGTGTGAATTTAGTTGATGCATTACTCTCTTTTCAAGGAATTCTCCGAGTTGGCGACTTCGCAGCTTCTTCTTCTTCCAAAACAGGCAACAAAACCTTACGAGTGCAGCTAAAACTAGTAACAAAGTCGACTCGAATAACAGAAATAAGATGATTCCCCTCTCATTGTCTGAACCAAATCAAATAAAATAAGCGTTGTTAAGGTATAAATTTCACATTCGATTTACTCCCTTCGTCCCAAATTAAACTTTCGATTTACCTTTTCACGGAGTTTGAGAAAAAGTAGAATCATGTGGTTGAGATTTATGCAAAGGTGAGAAATAATGTGAAGGTGAAGAAAGCAATGAAAAGTTGGCTTACCCGTGTAAATGCTGTTGTAAGTCATTGGTCTGATCTGTGAGCAACTCTATGCATATTTCTGACCTGAACAGAAAGCAAAACAGCTATACACGATTAACCCAGTACACGAAACGAAGGGATTAACCAAACGAACCCTAGTTTATCCCACTCAAGTAAGGCCCGGGGGGCATCATTACGTTTGCTAATGCATTGGAAAGGGTCATTAATCCCTGCAGGAAATCAGATTTTCATTAGTCACTGCTTTGTATCAAACAAGTGCACGAAAGACACTGAATCTGTTTTGAGCCACTCACTTGATGCTGCAAAAAAAGCAAGAACAACCTTTTCATCGCAATCAAAATGCTTCAGATCACTGTTGAGTAGCTTCGATGAGAATGGACCTGCGATTACCATCAAGAATAGACACCTCAAGTTCTACTGAGTCCCGGCTGACTTTTGAACAACGAAATCAAATGAATTAGGTAGTACAACACTACAACCTTAAGTGTTAATAATATCTTGAAGACATTTTAAGGATTGTAATTTTATTGCTGAAAATATGGTCATTACCAGGGTATTTCTCAGATAATAGCAAAGATCCGGTGGCGGGGACGAGCATTGTGAAGGTAACAGACCTAGGTTTCATAGCTGAGATGAACGTATAATCCCCAATCCTCTGGCTAACCTTTCCATCCATTTCTGTCTGAGAGACATAGATTGCAAAACCTGAGCAGTCCAGAATAGGGCGAACTTGGATGACAGATTCTTGGTCAGCCACTCTAGGGAACTTCTTGACAACTCCGGTCTGTGAAAACGAATACACGAAGCCATCCAACGAACCGACCGAAACCCAACCTGGTACATCAGGAGACAANTAATCTCAACAGAAACCTTACCCCTGTGGAAAGAACAGATATATTGCTTACTTCTTTTGTTTATGTTAGACACTGCTAAAAGCTTCATTGAAAGCAAGAAGAAAGGAAAACACGATTCTTTTAGGTTACAACATATTCAAATCTTGAAGATTGTTTTACCACTAGAGTCAACGACGGGGGTGTAATCTGCAGAACTCAGTGGTCCAATACTTCCCTGCCACAAAACATTACCCTTCGAGGCATCTATCGCGAGGATGAGTGCTGCTGCAGCTGGGACAGTGACGTACACCAGACCGTTATTCCCAGCAGTAATTGTAGAGATGTTTCCATAAGAGCTCAAATCCGTTATCCATAGGAAATGAGGGTTGCTAGTAGACACAGCATACAGTTCTCCCCCATTGTTCAAAACCTGGGTCATGTAGAGATGGTTCATACAAGTAAGCCTGAAGTTGAATAGTTTGATGCAACAACTTGTAAAACCAAAATGACAAATTTTTTCCATACTGTTTGAGGTATTAAATGCAAGTTCAAATGTGAAATGTACTGAGAGGAAGAAAGAAGAAGAAGAAGACTGACATAAGCACGAGCTTCGCAGTGGTCAATCACCGGAGCAGAAGTGAAATGACAGTCCGTCAGGGTTTTGCGGCAGCCTTGGCGGAACCCGTGCTGGTTCTTGACGGGGCCGGCGCTCCAGGCCAGCTTCCCCTGAAGCCTATAAGCAAAGAGTCCTCTTCTCTTCACGGTGATGAGGACCCGAGAGCTGAACACGCTCACGCCAATCCCCACAATCTCTCCCCAGCTCTTGCTCTCTGCACTGCCCCCGATCGGTTTCGCCCCAAAAAACAGTTGTACGGCGGATTCTGATGATCCTCCGGCTTTCAAGGGGTTGATCTTCAAAACTCTATCTTCTGCCACTACATATATCTACCAAGACCCAAACTCAGCATCTATACTATATCTTTCTTGTCCACAAATAAATGGCAATTATACATAACTGTAGAAAAATAAGAGAAAATATTTCTGTATTTTGAATTGGAACCCTCTTTATATAAAAGAGGGTAAAGCAGAAAATTTTTATTCCTACTAAAATAAGAATTAAGCAAACTAGAAAAGATACTAAATCTAATCCTAAAGGATTCGATTTCCTTCTTCAATACTGTTTCCTTCTTCTGTTTCTAACAATCACATTTAGGATCAAGGGTCATAGTATGTATCATTTCTCCTACATTTCAAAACCAATCTTTTAGAACTTGCCAAATCATTCATAGATTTCTTTACATCTATCCTAAACCAAAATTGGCAATGTATAGGGAGGAGAATTAATGAGAGAGGGATGGAGATTTAATTGGCTTGCCTTTGTGGAACCGCCATTGACAGGAGCAATCTTAGGGCTGCAGGTGTGATTAAGAGGCAAGTTCCAAGCGACGGAGCCGTTACTCTCGAAGGCAAAGAAGTGTCTTCCAGAGCACGCGTAAACCCTCCCATCGTCTCCCACCAATGGCAGCTTCAGCTTCGGTGCAGAACCCCTCTGTGATTCTACCAAACAAAAAGTAAAAAAAAACATTTGATTCTAGGTTTTCGGAAGAAAAAAAACACTTCAATTTGCAGTTTTTTACTGTAAGTTTTATGGCCATGTTTGAGAACAAGTATAATTCTAAATTAACGTTTTGATAATTGAAGAAACGTACAATGAAAGTGCTTAGTGGTTGGTACCTGAGGAGAAGGAGGGTGATGGATTTGAAAACAGAATCTGCGCAAAACACGGCAGCAGAAATGAGATTAACGTAGGAAGAATTGGCATAATCATGAGCAAGCAGAAACTCGAAAGAGTTAAGCACGCGAGTCATAGCAGGGATTCATTCCGTCGAGATAAGACTGTCATAAATCTTGAAATTGCTCCGGCAAGATTAGGAGAAAAGTAACTGGGGAAATGGAAATGAAAAATGGGAAGAGGAAGAACTCGATTATTTAGGGTTTCGGAGTACCTGGAAGAATGGCGGGATGTGGAGCGGAGCAGGCGGAATAGTTGAAGAAGAGGGGGAGAGATCTTGTTCCGAGATCCCAACCACCCAGATATAGATGCAGTTGCGGCGTTGCCTATCAATAATTACAGCAGGCAGTAATTACTACTCCGTAATTAGTGTTCAAAAAATAATTCTAGGGTTAATTTTAGTGTTCAAAAGATAATTCTAGTGTTCAAATGATAATTCTAGGGTACACCAAAAGTTTTTGGTACTTCCATTTGTACATCCCTCCCTAGTGCCCCTAATCATACTGGGTTAATTTTTGAGTAATGCTAGAGTCACAAAAAAACAGTTTATAAAATTTACAAATTTGCCTTTTTAACACTATCCTAGAAATAAGATGCATTCAAATAATAAAAGATATTTTAATTTAAAATCCACAAAAGACAAATTTATGAAGTTTGTAAATAATATGTTTGTGACTCTAGCATTTTCCGTAATTTTTAGGAAAATTCTATTTGTACACCACGTTTGTTCCCTATTTTTTACCTCAAAGGTTTGCTCTTACATTAAATATAAGTATAAAACTAGTATTATGTCAGTGTTGTACTTATATTTTATGTCAGGATAAACCTTTGAGGTACAAAATGGAGTACAAAGTGAAGTGAGAGTAGCACAACCCTAATTTTTATCCATTCTCCAATTTTTTTTATCTATATTCAAAAGTCTTTGGTGGAAAGTTTTGTGGTATACAAATGAGATATAGTGCACGTTGCATGGAACATCTGAAATTTGGATGGACTGATGGATCTCTCAATAGTCTAACAAAAAATAAGGTATCTGCCAAATAATGTTTATACTTTGTGCAAATAGAAATGAAATTTTGTATTTTTATTCAAAGGAAAATATATAAATGAAAATGGGGTATTTGACATTATAAATTTTGAAATCTAATTTGGGACAAAGGAGTATTTTGATTTTATTTATTTTGATGGAGTATTTTGGAATTAAAAATTATCAAAAAATCAAAATAATAATTATGAAATCTAATTTGGGACAACGGAGTATTTGACATTATAATTTTTTTGGAGTGTTTTATCTAAAATTAATATTTAAAACCATCAGGATATGAGTAAAACATAATAATTATCCTCAAAATATGAGTAACATATTTTAATGCTTAAATAAAAATATTACACTGTGATAATGTAACATTGTAAATTAGTATTCCATTGTGTTTTCAGTATTTCATGTTGGCATTAAAAGTTCTATTTTGAGAATAAAAATGAAAACCTTATTTTAGTTCTTTTCATACATTTTACATCTATTTGAGACTTTCTCTCTTGAACACTGGTAATGGTCATGAAGCCTCGGGGCTTCAAACCGGGGCTTCAAACTTACTCTCTCTGCCACGTCAGCTTTAACTTACACCCAAAATTCACTGGAAATGGTTTTGAAGCCCCGGGGCTTCAAACTGAGGCTTCAAACCTTCATTTTTTACATTTTTAAATATACATCTTCTAAATTTAAATTTATAAATTTAAATTAATTTATTATTTTAATGAATCGCAATGACACTATTGCATAAAAAATTAAATTCATTATAAAAAAAACTTACATTCATAAAAAAACATTTAAAAAAAATTACATTCATTAAAAAAAATTACATAAAAAAACAATAGTACAAAGAAATCACCAATTATTCGAACGACTAAAGATATGCTCGATCAAATCCGCCGTTAGTGCATTGTGAATCTCTCGGCTTCGAATTTCTTGGCGGTTGCGTCGTTTCTTTTCTTCGGTGATTTCTTCGTACATAGGCACCTCCTCGTCCGGGTTATATTGACAAATCGCAGACCCGTTATCCTCTATGATCATATTATGAAGAATAATACATGCGTACATGATATTCCTCATTTTTGTCTGAGAATAACATTTCGACGGACGATCTAGAATGTGCCACTTAGCCTTCAAGACCCCAAAGGCTCGTTCAATATCTTTTCTCGCCGCCTCTTGAGCTTTTTTTGTAGGTTTGGCCTTTAAGACCCATTGGTTCGGAGAGAGATTTGACAATCGTGGAATAATCCGGATATATTCCATCAGCCAAATAATATCCACGCTTGTAAAGCGCCCCTCTAAGCTCAAAAGAGGAGTCCGGTGCGGTTTCATTAACCCAATCGTGAAAAACAGGCGATTGATCGAGAACGTTGATGTCGTTGTTCGAGCCCGCGACACCGAAAAAAGCATGCCAAATCCACAAGTCATTCGAAGCAACAGCTTCGAGCATGATGGCAGGCTTTGGATGATCTCCCCAGGAGAATTGACTGTGCCACGCAGTGGGACAATTTTTCCATTCCCAATGCGTGCAATCAATACTCCCAAGCATGCCGACAAAGCCGTGTTTGGCGGTATGCCTCGCCTGCAACTGCTAGATGTCGCTCGCTGTAGGCTTGCGTAAATATCTTTTATGATAAATTTGAATAATAGCTTTTGAAAATTTATAAACATAGGACCTGATGCTCCGAGCAGACATCTTTAAGTATTCGCCGAACATATCAGATGCCGTCCCGTACGCCAACTGACGGAGCGCGGCAGTGCACTTTTGGACGCTACTAAACCCGCGTCGGCCTCTCGCATCAAACCATTGGTTGAACCAAGGAACCTCACGTTCAACATCGGCGAGTATGCGTAAGAACAGAGGGCGACTCATCCGAAAACGATTACTAAAATCCTCCGGTGTATAAACACACGGATTATTAAAGTAGTCGTTTAGAAGTGAATCGTGGGCGGCCGCTCGATCCCGGTTTAGACGTTGGCGTCGGGTCCGTCGTCGGGAGGATTCGGCTTCTTCTTGGCCATCTTCCCACCATTGAATACAGTTCGTCACGAAATAACGAAAAAATAAAGCTCTTCTTTCATCGTCGGAAGATAAACCCATTTTTAAATTATATTTTATAAATATTTATAATAAATAATAAATATTTTTGAGAGAATATATAGTAATAAAGAGAGATTTGTGAGAGAGAGGTGTGAGGAAGATGTATGAGAAGGGGGGATTTTATAGGTTTTTTTTTAAATTTAGATTTTTTTTTTAATTGGGGGGGGGGGGGTAACGGCTCTATAGCCGTTGGGAAGGGGAACGGCTAAAAAAATCGGAGCCACGCCGCGTCAAACGTATGACGCTGGGCGACTCACACCCTTTATAACGCCGGAGGGGGCGGTGTTTCACGCCCCCGGGGCGTTAAACGCCCGTTCACGCCGGCGGGCGTGAGGAGCATTACCAGTGCTCTTAATACTTAAACAATGTTCATCATTCAAAGAGGTTTGCAATGCTCTTTCAATTACAATTAATAAAATTTATGAATGGATCTTGCTAAATCCACCTTCATTATGACTAAATCCACTTCATTTATGATTGTCATGTACAACTTTGCCTTAGAAACAATAGAAGAATGTTAGCCAACATTTTAAAGGCAAATTTGCTCATTTGATATAAATAAAGTAAATGAAGTGAATTAAGCCATAATAGAGGTAGATTTATTATTGTTATTATTATTATTGTCTAACATAAAGTAAATAACAAAGGAATGTGACAGTACAAAAGTATCAACAAACTGAGTCTAGTAAAGAAATAGCCTTTAAAAAAATGCACACCACTGTGATTCTCTAAGGCATTGTGTGATGAAACCTCAGCTGCTTGATGACAAAGGTCTCATCCTTCGCGTCAAAACGCATTGGCGAGCCACTGGTGCAGATTCCTCTATTCCATCAAATGAGCCCGAGCCCGAGCCTGAGCCCGAGCCCGAACCCGAGCTTGATGGGCTAGCCTCGTACTCGTCATCTCCTTCGCGAACATCATCATCAGCACTGCTAATCCAAGCTTCAGCAATGTCCGACTGGCTATCTTCGGAGGAAACATCTGTGACAGTGTGAAAGAGAGTGATGCTCTCCTTGTTCCTGTCTTGAAAAGAGTAGCTCCGTGTTGTTCGATCAGACAGAGGAAGCAGCACTGGTTTTGAACCTTCCATGAAACGAAGAGATATAGTAATGTACTAATGCTATATGATTGATTAATGGTTTACTACTTTGTTTGAAGTTGTTTGAAAAAAGTTGTTAACCAAAAAGGCTGAAAACTAAATGCTTTCGTTAGATAATCTTTTCAAAATGTTAAAACTAAACATCTAAGTTGTTGATACCAGAAGCAAGAAAATCTCTAATAAGAGCTTTTTTGTTTTTTACCTCTCATGTATGTGGTTTCATCTCTTCCAAAACTATATGTTGTTGAGAGCTTTCTCTCAATCCATTCCCTTTCCCTCACCAAATCTCCCAACTCTTCTATCACTTCATTCCCTACCGCTTCCTCTGTAACTTTTTGCTCAAGTTCTGAAATTGTCCTGTCAAAGGCTTTCTTCTGGAGTTGGAGAGCACGCTGACAAATAACAAAACAATAAAAAATGCACCGAGTTATGGCATTGGCGATCAAACCAAACCTTCATTGTGTTTGGAAGTATTGGAGGGGAAATTGGGTGTGAAATTAATGGATGCATTACTCTCTTTTCAAGGAATTCTCCGAGTTGGCGACTTCGGAGCTTCTTCTTCTTCCAAAACAGGCAACAAAACCTTACGAGTGCGGCTAAAACTAGTAACAAAGTCGACTCGAATAACAAAAATAAGATGATTCCCCTCTCATTGTCTGAACCAAATCAAATAAAATAAGTGTTGTTAAGGGATAAATTTCACATTCGGTTACTCCCTCCGTCCCAAATTAAACTTTTCACGGGATTTGAGGAAACGTAGACTTGTGTGGTTGAGATTTATGCGGAGGTGGGAAATTATGTGAACCAGTCAATGCGAAGGTGAAGAAAGCAACGCAAAGTTGGCTTACCCGTGTAAATGCTGCTGTAAGTCATTGGTCTGATCTGTGAGCAACTGTATGCATATTTCTGACCTGAATAGAAAGCAAAACAGCTATACACGATTAACCCAGTACACGAAGCGAAGGGATTAACCAAACAACCCTAGTTTATCCCACTCAAGTAAGGCCCGGGGGGCATCATTACGTTTGCTAATGCATTGGAAAGGGTCATTAATCCCTGCAGGAAATCAAACTTTCATTAGTCACTGCTTCGTATCAAACAAGTGCGCGAAAGACACTGAATCTGTTTTGGGCCACTCACTTGATGCTGCAAAAAAAGCAAGAACAACCTTTTCGTCGCAATCAAAATGCTTCAGATCACTGTTGAGTAGCTTCGATGAGAATGGACCTGCGATAACCATCAAGAATAGACACCTCAAGTTCTACTGAGTCCCGGCTGACTTTTGAACAACGAAATCAAATGAATTAGGTAGTACAACACTACAACCTTAAGTGTTAATAATATCTTGAAGACATTTTAAGGATTGTAATTTTATTGCTGAAAATATGGTCATTACCAGGGTATTTCTCAGATAATAGCAAAGATCCGGTGGCGGGGACGAGCATTGTGAAGGTAACAGACCTAGGTTTCATAGCTGAGATGAACGTATAATCCCCAATCCTCTGGCTAACCTTTCCATCCATTTCTGTCTGAGAGACATAGATTGCAAAACCTGAGCAGTCCAGAATAGGGCGAACTTGGATGACAGATTCTTGGTCAGCCACTCTAGGGAACTTCTTGACAACTCCGGTCTGTGAAAACGAATACACGAAGCCATCCAACGAACCGACCGAAACCCAACCTGGTACATCAGGAGACAACACTGTGAAAGCCTGATTTTTCATGTTCAACAACATTAGCACAACAACAAAACCTAGTATAATCTCAACAGAAACCTTACCCCTGTGGAAAGAACAGATATATTGCTTACTTCTTTTGTTTATGTTAGACACTGCTAAAAGCTTCATTGAAAGCAAGAAGAAAGGAAAACACGATTCTTTTAGGTTACAACATATTCAAATCTTGAAGATTGTTTTACCACTAGAGTCAACGACGGGGGTGTAATCTGCAGAACTCAGTGGTCCAATACTTCCCTGCCACAAAACATTACCCTTCGAGGCATCTATCGCGAGGATGAGTGCTGCTGCAGCTGGGACAGTGACGTACACCAGACCGTTATTCCCAGCAGTAATTGTAGAGATGTTTCCATAAGAGCTCAAATCCGTTATCCATAGGAAATGAGGGTTGCTAGTAGACACAGCATACAGTTCTCCCCCATTGTTCAAAACCTGGGTCATGTAGAGATGGTTCATACAAGTAAGCCTGAAGTTGAATAGTTTGATGCCACAACTTGTAAACGAAAATGACAAATTTAAAAGTACTTAAATAAATACCCATAAAATCATAAGCATTGTACTACTCCATATTCTTTATATAATGTCAGTGTTTTATCAACATTACAAAATAGATATTTTGAGAGTGGAAAAGGCAAGTGCTAATGCAGTAATGCAGATGAAGGTGTTGAAATTGTAGGTGATATTGATAAAGTTTCGCAAAGTCTGAATCTGATTAAAATGAAGAATATATGTTCATAATTACCACAATGATTAAAGAGTAAATTCCCATTTCGCTTGGCTATACTTAAGGCGAGCACGGGGTTAACTTAAGTCCATTACCTGAACCAACCAAATTACTGATCAGTGTCCTCTAATAGGGATCAGTAAATTTCCCGTACATCCACATGAATACTCATTTTTTAGTAACCGAATACTCATTTCTGAGTAACAAAATGTTCATTTTCGAGTAACTAAATACTCATTTTCAAACATAACTCATTTTGAGGTATTAAATGAAAAATTCAAATGTGAAATGTACTGAGAGGAGGAAGAAGAAGAAGACTGACATAAGCACGAGCTTCACAGTGATCAATCACCGGAGCAGAAGTGAAATGACAGTCCGTTAGGGTTTTGCGGCAGCCATGGCGGAACCCGTGCTGGTTCTTGACTGGGCCGGCGCTCCAGGCCAGCTTCCCCTGAAGCCTAAAAGCAAAGAGTCCTCTTCTCCTCACGGTGATGAGGACCCGAGAACTGAACACGCTCACGCCAATCCCCACAATCTCTCCCCAGCTCTTGCTCTCTGCACCGCCGCTGCCCCCGATTGGTTTCGCCCCGAAAAACAGTTGTACGGCGGATTCAGATGATCCTCCGGCTTTCAAGGGGTTGATCTTCAAAACTCTATCTTCTGCCACTACATATATCTACCAAGACCCCAACTCAACATCTATAATATACTCCCTCCCATCAAAAAGGTTGCATTTTATTTTTTGCGCATCCCATAAAACAATTTTATATCGTCTCGAACGCTAAAAAAATTTCAAAACGACTCCTACCCACAATAAAGAGAGTAAATGTAGTAATTTTTAGACATTTTAGATGAAAAAAGACATTTTTTTTAAATGCGCAAAAAAATGAAATGTAACTTTTTTATGGGACAGAGAGAATATTTTTTTGTCCACAAATAAATGGCAATTATACATCGCATTTAGGATTAAGGGTCATTTGATGAGCTCAGTACGTATCATTTCCTCTAGATTTTAAAACCCATATCATATATCGATCTTTTAGAACTTGCCAAATCATTCATAGACTTCTTTTACAACTATCATAAACCAAAATTGGCAATATATAGGAAGGAGAAGTAATGAGAGAGGGAGGGAGGGAGATTTGATTAGCTTGCCTTAGTAGAACCGCCATTAACAGGAGCAATCTTAGGGCTGCAGGTGTGATTAAGAGGCAGGTTCCAAGCGATGGAGCCGTTACTCTCGAAGGCAAAGAAGTTTCTCCCCGAGCAGGCATAAACCCTCCCGTCGTCTCCCACCAATGGCAGCTTCAGCTTCGGTGCAGAACCCCTCTGTGATTCTACCAAACAAAAGTGTAAAAAAAACATTTGATTCTAGGTTTTCTGAAGAAAAAAAACACTTCAATTTGCAGTTTTTTACTGTAAGTTTCATGGCCATGTTTGAGAACAGAACAATATATATTCTCAATTAACGTTTTGATGATTGAAGAAACGTGAAATGAAACTACTTAGTGGTTGGTACCTGAGGAGAAGGAGGGTGATGGATTTGAAAACAGAATCTGCGCAAAACAGGGCAGCAGAAATGAGATTAACGTCGGAAGAATTGGCATAATCATGAGTGAGGAAAGATGAAGAAGATAAATGTAGGTTAGGTTCCCATGTTGTTTTATAACTACTCGTGGAAATTAAACCTCCGAAGCCATATATGGTGGTTATTCCCCTCTTTGTTCCTTCTGTTTTTTGGCGGTTACTCTGTCTTCTTCTCTTCTTTTTTTTTTTCTTTTCTCCTCACTCTCACCAAAATAGAAGGAAAATTATTTCTCTTTTTTTGTTTATTTTCTCTTAGGCTATGTTTGGAAAGAAGGAAAATGACTTTTGGAAGTGAGACGTGCAAGTAAGATAGGAAAATAGAGTCAAGAGAAAACAAACTCCTCGCCAAATGGAAAACGTGCCCTTGTTTCTGGAATATGTCTTCATCGCCGCCCCCATCTCCGTCTTCATCGTCGTCCCCCGTCTTCATCGTCACCATCCCTATCGCCGCCATCCCCCATCTCCTTCGTCCCCATCACAAATTCGAGTCTGCCGCCCTCATCCTCGATCTTCTTCTTTTCTTGCTCTATTGATTTTGAGTTTTAGGGTTTAAAGAAATCACTACACTTCTCCATTTGGACCGGTGACCAAATCTCTCCAGCAATTGCTCCGCCGGTCTGCCCAGGCGCCCCTCAACTACAGGGCTGAATTTCAATAGGTTTTTTGGTTGGATTAAGCTATTTGTACCCCAACTTTTGTACCCGCAGGTTTGCACCGACACTTTGTGTTGGTGTAAAACTAATTTTTATTAATGCACCAACACTTTGTGTCCGTGTAAATTTTTGTTAACGCACCAACATTTGTGTCGGTGTAAACCATCAAAATGTTTGTGTATAACTGCGGTGTACAAATGGGGTACAATTTGAGGGGTAAATGTAGCATGACCCTTTTTTGTTTAGAAAAAAGTAAATGTTCAATAGTTTGTGATTTATTATTGATTCCAAGTAATGAATGACGATAAATTCATAGTAATGTCTAGGGGTGGCATTCGGGTCCAGGAACCGCGGGTCGGAACTGAACCGCCAGGTTCGGGCCGAGTTAGGTCCGGGTCGTCTTTTCAAAAATTTAAAACGGTCCGGGTCGGTCCGGTTCCTATATATTTTAGGGTCGGTCCGGTTCCTCATTTTGAAATTGTTTGGGACCCGGACCGGACCTTTTTTTAAATACTAATACTCCCTCCGTCCTATAATGATCTTCCCGGTTCGCAAAACGAAGAAAAATCCCAAGTTTTTTTAATCTATTTTATTTAAGTATTGGTATATAAATAAAAAATAAAACATACATATTTAAAAACTACACCAAAAGTTCAACAAAACAAGTGGTGACAAGAATATTTTATTTTATCATATAGGCAATGAAAAAACACAAATAAATATAAATTCCCGTGAAGTTGGAATAGTGCTCTGGGAAGATCATTATAGGACGGAGGGAGTATTATTTTTAATATTTTTTTAGTAAATATACGGTATATCCGCCTATTCCAATTAATTTTAGTAACTCTTTCGGTCCTTCCATATTCCAATCACAGTGCAGAACCGCAGAAGTGCATAAGTCATGTTCAATAAATGAAGCTAATTTCCACTGAATTAGAAAAAAAGTGTATTATTGAATCAAAAGTCATTTGCATATTTTTGTGTGTGGAATATGGTTGATTTTAAAATTTTGTTTTTTGCAGGTTTTTTGGATTTTTTGGAAGCCATGAAAATTGTCAATTTTGCTCTTTTTGAAACCTATTGATATTATAATGCCAAAATGTGGTTGTCTTCTTTTTGTTGTTGTTGTTGGATGATCATGGGGTGTACACTTTACTCTCATGCCCCTCTTTGTCATTGTTTTTTTTCATTTATTCCTCTTTTTTGAACTTTGAAGGCATTATTCTATAATTTCTATTTGTTTTGAAGAATGTTAGTATTATGACAGGTTCGGACCCGTTGACCCATGGAATCGGCCCGTTTCAAACAAGCCGGGTTAGGTCCAATTCCAATTTTAAAATTTTGAAAACCCGTTCCGGTCCGGACCGTTTTAATAAAAACAAGCCGAGTCCGGTTTATATAAATTTGGACTCGGACCGGCCCGTGCCCACCCTAGTAATGTCCAATTACTCTGTTACATATTGAGTTAAAATAGGGTTTTCTAGAAAACAGAAATGGATCATTTTTAGACTTTCAGCCAAACAACAGAAAAGGCAAATGACTTCGTGAAAGTAACTTATTTTTCCAAATTCATTTTCCAAAAGTTGTTTTCCTAATTTTCGAATGGACCCTCAATTTTTTTCCTATCTAACAAAACAAGAAAATATAATTTTCCATATCATTTTTTTCCTTTTCAAATTTCTTAAATCAAACATACTGTAACAGAACCCAAGGAAGACTTGAAACACAATGAGAAGTTGAGAACAAGAAAAGATTTTTTTTTTTAAATAAAAGGCATCAAAAGGGACTGATCCATCTAGCCAACTTTAGCAAGATCTCGGAAACAAGCCGCGTTCTTGGAGGAGCATTGGCATCCCTTTCAAGGGCTTCGCTGTCGCCCGCGTGTATTAGGGAAACTACACGGTCAAAGAGTTCATCTTTCCCGCCTCTCAGAGGATCCTGCATATATATCACCAAAAATGTTCAGACTCCAAATCCCAAGTTGCATGTTCCAGACTCCAGATCCCATTCAGTTATTATTTTATTATAGAATTTTACTCCCTCTGTCCCAACTTAAATTACATGTTTTGGTTTACAATGTTTGGATGAAGTTATCTTTTTCACATTATTTGAAAATTGTAGTGAAACTTTAAAAATAAAATTTACATATTAAAAAACTGCATCAAAAGGTCTACGAAACAACATGTGACATGACTATATTATTTTATGAAATGAGGAACAAAAATAGGCAAAGAAAGTGAATGAATTTTGACCTTGGAAAATTCATGTCATAGCAGACATGGGCCCCGTTTGGGGTACCGGGTGCTTCGTTCAAAAAAAATTGATGATTCCTGCTTTCCTAATCACCATGGTAACCCCCACCCCTGTAATGGCACCCCACAAGATTTAGTTGACTTTGGAGTCAAATTTTGACGAAGGAGGGGGTGGCTTCACGTCAACCGGGGTGGGGGATAGGAACCATACGGCGTAGGGACCCCGGGTCATCAGGGGGTGGCTTCAGGTCAACCGGGGTGGGGGATAGGAACCATACGGCGTAGGGACCCCGGGTCATCCCATGACATTGGTCCAATATCATAGGAACAACTAAAAAGGGTGTTCATTTAAAATTCCAAAGTTTTTTTGTATAAAGAGGAACATACTTGGAGAAATAAATCTGTATGGGTTTTCCCCTTGTACAATATCAGTTCAGCGTGGGCCCCTACTCGCCGGAGGGTATTCACAAATCTTTTACTGCACAAATGAAACCGACGATATTGTGATTTACAGTATAACGTAGTACGGAGTATAAAGCAAGAACGTGTTTTAAATAAAGGGTGTATTTGGTATGCATTTGTGGGGTGATTTTACTCATTTTAGAATCACAATCACCCAAGTTGTCTACTCCCTCTGTCCAGAATTAGTTGTCCACTTAAGTTGTAAAAAATTCTCATTTTTAAGAAACGTGTTTAAAATGGCAAATATGCCCTTGGGATGAGTTCTTCACTCATTCATGTCGACAATGTTCACACCACATCTCCAGTATATTTTAGACAATTTATCACAATTTCTTCATTAAATACGGAAGGTGGACAATTGATTCCGGACTAAAGACAATAAGAAAGTGAACAATTAAATGAGTGTTCCGATTTCCAAAACGAGATTTTGGAAGTCACCCTCACATGACTTTACCACTCTGATTTTGGAAATCACACTCTTTCATGATTAGCAACGGTTTCTAGGGATTTTCAGAATCATCTAGTTTTCAGAAACACACCCTTCTGAAAATCAAAACCAAAGCCACCCAGAAATGAAAGGTGCCGATAAATTGCTCTTTAGATGTATACAGACCTTTCTTGACAAGGTATGGACTTATCTTCAGTGCCGTGGAAAAGGATAATGTGGGGTAGCAATGAAACCGCGGCTTTGGAGTCTGGCTCCTGTACCAAAGCTTCAGGGGAGAAGCTTAGCAAAGATTCTTCACCTTCCATTATACTGTAATGGGAATTATATGTCAAAAACTTCATGTGCACCACAGAGCAAAAAAATCCTGATACTTCAATGTATAAACTAAGGGCATGTTTGTTAAGAGTTATGTGGCTAAAAAAGATGAATTTGATTATTTTTCTGAAAGAGTGGAAAAGTGTTTGGTAAATCCGATTTAAGCCAAAATAAGTCAAATGCTATTTTAATTCTTCTTCTTCATTGATAAGAAAAGTGAGTAGCAACCAAACGGGGCCTAATTCTTGAATTTTGCGGTGGGAGAATATTTACGGACCTCAAAAATATAGAACGATATAACCCTCTGCCATGGAAGTGATCTACTAAGCTGGGTAAATTATACCTGCCCACAACAGATATATATCATGCCGTCATCATAACAACTAGATAATAATAATAATAATACAGAATAAGAAAAGACACGAGGTAATGATATTATTGAATGTAAGGTACCATAGAAAATCAAAGAAAATGATTTTCTAATATAATTGGAAAGGAAGGCACCTAGGTTCCCCTTGTTTCAAGGACAACAAATCATGATAATTATTTTCCAACAAAAGCGTTTACCAAGAAAATGTTTTCTTGGAAAATAGGTTCAATATATGATTTGATGCTTTACCCCAAAAGAACAGAGAACATAAAACTGTTTCCAGAAAATGACTTGCCGTTTTCAAAAACATACAGTTTTTTACCACAAAAGTCTAAAGAATTGTGAGGAAAATCTGAAAAACTGTCTCTTTTCACGTGAACAGTCGGAACCTAGTCTAATGATTGATAATATTTGCACCCCAAGAGGAGAAAAAACAAGGCATATACTAGAGGCAAAATGGACAGAAAACTTGCCCCCCTGATGAACCAAAATATGCCTTTATTTGTGAGACGCTCCAACAAACCACTTCCTCTCTTGATTCTTTAATCGCCTGCTTTACAAGAACACATGAAGAAATGTGTGCACCAGCAGATTGACCCATGAGATAAATCCTGCACAACAAAGGACACTCGTTGAAGCCCCTCACACAATTCCAATCTTTTTTTTTTTGAAAACATCACTTCCAATTAAAAATGATTAGTTAATGTTACGTTATCATATAAAAAACCTGCATTATTTCTAAATATTAAAACATGTTGAGTTAGTGAGTTACCTGTTTGGATCACCTCCGTATTGAGCAACATTGTTGCATACAAATGAGATCCCCTCAGAAACATCTTCCACCATATCACCTATCGTCCCCTGTGGAAAATTTCTGAAGCAAATACATGCATCAGATGTGCAAATGGAAATGAAATCTATGCGGCTGACCACCATTCCTGGTGTATACATGCACACATAGAGTGATAAGGTTTGGAGTTCCATCTCTAAAGGTCAACCTTATAGAAGAAATAATTCAATAACTTATGCGCTTTTTGTGTTTTTATCTTTGTTTGATGTAAGATAGTTAACATGTAGAAGATTCATACAGTTATGTATTAACGATGCTCATATCCAATATGGGTAGAGAGATAGAGAAAAAGAGTCATTGAACATTTTCTTCCCAAATTATTGTGCCAAACTCTAATCAATGTTGATGAATAGAAAGTAAGTTGAGCCTAACACATACATGAAAAACAAGCTAAAACTGGAGCGATAAAAACTAAAAGCATCTTTGTCATATGGGAAGAGAGAGAGAGAGAGAGAGAGAGAGAAGAGTAAAATGCATGAGAGGACAAGGAATAAGATGAGGTTAAAGTTCCCAGTGTGGTGCATAATCTTACCTGTAGTCGAGACATGCTACTATGATGTCACGTTCTGATAACTGTTTCCCCAATAGGGAACCCCATGCTTTGTACCTGAACAATCAAAGTAGATAGATCTTGACAGTAAAAATACTCTCATAAGCAAATCACTTTGTTCATAAAACTATACGAGTACTATTAAATAGGATAAACAACAACAACAACAACCCAGTCTAATCCCAACCCTGTTGAGGTCTAGGGGGCAAGATGCACGCAACCTTACCCATGTAAAAAGAAGAGGAGCTGTTTCTGTAAGACCCTAGGTGCATTGCTGCATTTACTTCCCAAGGCCTCACAAAAAGTAAGAAGCAAGGGAAGGTTATTGTGTCGTTTTGATTTTGACCATTATTTACCAAAAGCTAAAACATTGTAAAAATGAGCATTTTTTAGCTTCATTGGCAATGGACGGGTATTGCATGCATATGGAGTATCATCTTGTTACTTCTACAAAGGTTTATCTCGGAAAAAGTCATCTTATATTTAACTTCATATCACATCTACAAGTCATAGATGTTCAGTCAGACAGTAATGGTCGAACGAATTGGAATCAAAAGTTCTTACCCAATAATCCATGCCCCACCAGTGACAAATACTGCAACCGGCTTTGAGCCATTTCTATCCGTTGGTAAATATAAGTCCAGTCTGTGCACCAAAATTCAGTTAAGAAGATCCACACAAGAATGTTGATGAAGCCTCCACCACCACCCCACCCCCCAAAAAAAGAGTTAACATTTCCATACCTATTTCTTGGTTGACTCCCATAAAGAACACTTCTCCGTACATTGGGTGAAAAGAAGTAATAAAAAGCAACTGCAAAAAGCTAAAAGCTTAACTAAGCGATGTAATACAATGTCCTACTCGGTATATTTTTCATGCAAACCCCAAAGCTGATAGAATAAATATAGACTTGTTTTATATACGAGAGAGAGAGAGAGAGAGGAAAAGAAGAAGAAGAAGAAGAAGAAATAACATTATACTATTATTAATACCTTGAATAAATCCAGGCATAAGCAACATAGCATATATACCAAGAGCAAGAAGTCGTGTAATCCAACGATAGCCTACCCTGAAAAATAGAAGTGATCAAAAGCTGCACCGTGAAACTAAAGAAGCAAACCAATCTACATCGGAAACCATTGAAATTATTTAATACTATGAAAAAATGAACCTCATAACCATTTTAGGCTATCCTACTGCCATGGTTTTAAAAGGCGACCGAGGCGGTCCGCCTCGAGGCGGTGAGGCGGTAAGGCGGTTGCATTTCGCCTCTGAGGCTTAAGCCTCAGTAGGGACACCTGAGGCGTACGCCTCACAATGTTGAGGCGGTCCGAGGCGGTCTGAGGCGGTAAGGCGTAACCGAGGCGTAAGCCTCACTTTTAATAAGAATTTCAGCAATTATAAGGGTTACTTTTAAAAGGCTATTGGGCCTCTTTTACAAAAACTCTTTTGGGCCAATGCATTATAAAGTTTCTTAAGNGCTTTTAATTTTTCCGGTTCCTTCTTTTCCAACATCCCTCTCCCTCTTTTAAATTCGGTTCAAACTTCAAAGAATGATGTGACTTTTTTTTGCGTGAACTTTTGTCCATATTTAATATTTACAAGGTTTGGAGATGGATTTGAGACATTTGTGTTTATGTTACTGTGTTTAATCTTTATAATTCTATTTTTTATTTGTGTTTTAAAAATTAAGATAAGGTATCATTTTTTGTAAAATTCAGGAATTATGATTTTATCATTTATTTAACATAAAAATGGATTATGCATTTCGTTTTACCTCGGTGTACATATTTTAGTATTATTTTTTTCATATTGAACTGAGGCTTACGCCTCGTTCCGCCTCGAGGCTTACGCCTCAAGGCATTTTGCTTCACCGCCTCGAGGCTAGTTTTCGCCTTTCAAAACCTTGCCTACTGCCTATAGCTAATGCTTGTAATTTAGCCTACATAGTAGAGAGCCTAATTACCATTCTAGCTAACATTCGTATAACACAACACAAATCTCCTTTGGCTCAAATATTAATATGTTGACTCCAGCAGAGTATAATCCACTCAATGAATTTTTTTAATTAAATAAAACATTAACAATGGGGAAGAATTCAATAATAGATTATTCCAAAAGTAGCCAGCCATGATTCTTTTAAATGGAAAAAATTCCAAATGATAATGGACACATGCAATAATTGATTGATATTTAAAGAATTTAATCAAGAAAACCAAATCTCATTAAAGATTAGTTCTTTCAAAAGTACGGAGTATAATGATTGAGGCAATGCACCAAACACGATTATATGTTTGAAACAAACAACCAAATGAATGAATAAATAAAAGAAGCTCAATTCTTGATAGAAGAAGAATATGATTTCATAAATATTGAAAAAAATTATCATGGTTGAACCTGAGACTTTACCCGAGATAACTAAGAAGCTTGAAGCTAAGGCGAGTGATCAAGTAGGTCTCAGCCGCGGCATGGCCGAGTTCACGGCTGAAGGAAGACTGGCGGCGGGGATAACACGGGGCAGAAACCGTCTTGGCCAGAGGTTTCCGCCTCCTCTGATTGTTAGCAGAAGGGCCGGCGGGAAGGCTCGAAACCCTAGATATCAAAGGCTCGTGTGCATCCGTTCTCCGGTCATTCATCTCCTCCAACTCGTTGACAAGAGACTCCAAACTCGCCGGGACGGGGCGGCTGGCCGGCGACATCTCCGGCAATTTGAAATTCCGAGAATCAGATGTGGACGGACACCGTCGAAGTATATCAGATTCCGACGAGGATTTGTGGGATGGGAAGGCAGGCAGGGCGGTTGGGGACGGAGATGCTCTTCGAGGGGATCAATGGCTGTCAGTGTCAGAAGGAAACAGAGATGCTTTCTATTTCCAACATTCTTCTCCAAAGCATTTTATGACGTCTGGTTTCTACTTGCAGAATTTCTTTTCCGGGAATATGTTTCTTTCCCAAAGAAACAATTATGTCATGACTTTCACTACTCTTTTTAACTAGTCTTTTTTTTGTCTCCACATTTTTTTAATTTTTTCTTAATTATCACGAGTTTCACTAGTTGTATCTCTTTGAATATTTGTTCAGTTTTAATTTTATTAATTAATCATTTTCAACTTCAGACTTATAATTAAATAAAAAATATATTGTATATTAATTAGATAAAATAATATTTTGAAAATATTTACGGAGTATATAATAAATCTAATAAAATTGTTTTGTATAATAATTAATATCATTTTTATTTAATTTGAAATTAAATTTTGGTAATTTTGACCAAAAAAAGTCAAAACTGAAAATATACTCATGGACAGAGAATGATGTTCCATGAAAGAAATAAGAATGCACATAGTCTATCGGATTTGAGATCTAAAGGTTGTTAATAAGTGAAAAATGGAGGAAAGATTTTAAAAAATACATTGGCATAATTGTAAATAAGTCAAAATTTTCTACCATTTCAAAAATGCATTACATTGATCAGAAAATACATCACGACAAACCAAAAATAAATGATTAGCATTTCTCACATTAAGAGTCATTCTCACTAAAATCGGACTTTTATATGTATGTGTGTATGTATGCATGTATATATGTATATACCTAGGTATGTAAATATATCTCTGTGTGTGTGTGATTTTATGGTGTCATGAGTGGCATCAAAATTGATATAGAGTTTTGAGTTAGTGTATGGTTTACAATATCCTATGAGTGATTTATTTAAAACTATTAGCTTAGGCCAAGTTTTGAAATGTTAGTTGAAAGTGATATTTTAACTCAAAGAACTCCTTCCATACTTCATTCTTGAACTCAGCACACAAATTAATGAATTCAGGAATTGAAATTAGAAGAGGAAGTATATAGATTTGTAATTGATTTTGTTTAGAATTAGGGTCCATTTAATATACGGAATTGATGAAATTAGAATTAAATTGAGAGGTGAAATTCTATGGAATTATTTTGAATGAAATTGAACTCTCCAATTTTAGTTTATTTTTGGCATTACCAATTCCAAATCCACATATTTTTGTGCTACCAAACAGTTGAATTGGAATTGTTGTTCCCAATTTCAATCTCATAGTTTGAATTCCGTGTACCAAACAGAGCCTTAGAAAATGTGGCACAAATCCAAATCCTTTTTTAATTCCAAAACCTGTAATTTAGGTCAAATTTAGATTCAAAATCCAAATTTATGTTCTAAAACAAGTCATAAAAGAACTTACCATAACCACAAGTGTGGTCTAGGAAAGAGGGGGGAGGGGTGCAACATATAACAGCATTATTTCAAAAGAAGAGCAATTCGGCCAATACTTGTACAAATTCATAATAGTAAAGAGGCTCTAGCTAACAGAACATGTGTGCACATGGTACAATTTGTGCACCCATTGGAGTCTTCCTTCAAAAGGAAAGATAAATATCCCTAAACCATTGAAGTTTTCGGTCGTTTTTTTGGATTGGGTCATGTCCCTGGAGCTTATTCTGCAATCTTTGCTGGAAATTTATATTTATAATATATCACCTGAACCACCATTTCTGTGCAGCAGATATGGGCGTGTTCAAGAATGGGGCATATCGATGGACTAGAGGAATAATGAGCCTCCCAATCTTCGACCATACACTTTGATGGTAACCAGCTGTTGCGGGTGCATGATACATGAGTTTCAGTAGCTGCCAACAAGAAAGTTCAATCCATGGTAAGAATATCGATTTACTTTGAAAACCATCCACCTTGGGTCACACATACTATTAGACTATCCAACTTTTGGTGCTACGTCTAAATTTTCCCCCTCGCTTTTGGTATAAGACTATACTTATTAGTTTTTGTGACGTTTCCAATTAGTTTTTGTTAGACGGAGCAGAGTTATAATCTTAAGAGTTTTGGCCAAGTACTGTGAAGGATCAAAATTGGAAAAATGAAAAGGACAGGATGGGAATGTAGGACCCAAAGTAGTGGTGACCTTAATAGTAATGTCCTTATGGCCCTCATGGGACCAAAAGTGATTTTTTTAAGGTATAAGTATAACATGTCTATCAGATAGACACCTAAAGACCAACGTCATGGGCAAACAGACACCAAGTAGCAGTCTAGAGAGTCATAGCGCTCATGCAAATCCAGATTAAGTTTCCCCTTGATCTTATTTTAGTTAAATTACCCCCCTTCATCCCAAAAAGAGGCATCTTTCAAAAGCTTTTTGTCCCAAGAAAAGAGTCAAATTTCATTGAACAACGATACTACGTAATTCTTAGTTTTTCATATAATTTGCCAAAAAAGGTAGTAACTACTCCGTAAAGAGTTAAATATAATGCTTTTAGTAAAACAAGTAATAAATTTAGAAATATAAATCTGATTTAGAGACTCAAAAGTTATACCGTGCCAAAATCTTTAAAAAGGTGCACCTTGCCAAGATTAACAAGTTGCACCTTGACCAAAAAGGGCCTTTTTACCACAGAGCAAGTAAAATTCATGTTGATATATTAGGTGTCACCTAAAGGTTAAGTTAGGTGCATAGTTATTTAGGGTGCGATGCGCACCGATGCACAAAGTACCTCTAGCGCCTCGATGCGTGAGGCGCACTTGATGCGCGCGCATCACGAACACAATGCGCATATTAACGCACTAGTAGAATCTTGAATATATAGTATATCTACATTAAGAATAATATATATATAATTTTTAAAAGCATAATAAAGGTTTAGAAGTCAATTAAGATTGAAAATCACACATTGAACCATTGAGCATTGACAAAACTAAAAACCATAAAGTTCAAAGAGCAACAGAAGTCATAGACAAAAAGCATTCAAAGAGCAACAAAATGATAGACAAAATCATTCCTATTTGTTTTTGAGACCCTCCGAGCATACTTCCATCCGGGATCATTAGAATTTGGGCCATCTTCCCCTTCTAAATTTGGAGATTCTTAAGTATTTGACAAATTAACTTGCCCAGTAGAAAGAAGAAAACCAGGTAGAGAAAAAAATAAAGTAAGAAGAGACGGGAAGGAGAGCAGATATCACCTGCTTGACTGTTTCTGACTTCTGCCACTTGCGAGACAAGAGGAAGAGACGGGAAGGTGTTCCGCGGTTTGGAGGACTTGCGAGACTGGAGGAAGAGACGGGAAGAGTCGCACTCAAAGAAAAAGAAGAAGGCGCCGTTCCTTGGGGGTCGTAAAAGTTGGGAGGGTTTAGTCGTGTAATCTCGTTGGGGGTCGTAAAAATTGGGAGGGTTCAGTCGTAATAAATAAAGCTAATCCCTAAACCTAATTTAAAAAAACAGTAAACAGATGTTCACAAGGCGCGCTTTTTTGCGCATCAAGGCACTGCGCATAATGCACAGAGGCGCAGTGAGGCGCGCGCCTCATGAACTGCGCGTGCATCAGGACTGACGATGCACTCCCTGTTATACCCGAGACCCGGGGTATAATCAAGTTGCTATTTGGAGATGGAATTATGGAATGGTGAAGAGGAAATGAGGGGGACGAAATATGGGGGTGGAACAAAGAGTTGTTTTTTTTTGGGTTTTTGATGAAAGAAAAGAATAAGTTCAAGAAGAAGAAATGGTGAGAAATGAAATTGGCAGAGGTAAAGTGAAGGGATAAACCAAGATGGTGTTAAGAGATATAACACACTCTTATCTTAACTTGGGGTTTGAATCTAGAATTCAATCAAGATATGACACACTTAATTAAATATCTAGAACCTAAAACTCACACTTAAGATAACCACTCTTAAGATATAGATTTAGGAATTTAAATAGCAAACACAACAAGTGTATTACTAAATGGAAAATGGAATTACAATATGAGTCTCACAAAATGGCCTAAGGCCGAAATAAATACACACACATAGGGGGGAAACTTCCCAGAAACATCCACTCACAAATCACAAGAATAATATCCATTTGTTTATGTTTTCTTAATGGAATGAAATCAGGGATTTGGTCTTTGATTTTCATGGCTGGTGGCTTGTC